AACCGCATGCAGTCCTGTTTAGCAGCAACACCAGTCCCCGCCACAACCTCCGCCCTCCGCCGACCAGAGCCCGGTTACCCTCCAGAACCAACCTCAGAACCCATGATCGTGGAGAAGCAATGATTATCTTCCGCTGAGCGGCAGAGAAGGCTGACCCGGGGTCTCTGTTTGTACTGTGGAGCTCAGGGGCATCTGATCTTGTCATGCCCCCTTCGCTCTCCATGTCCTCGCGGTTGTGGCTAGAAGGGGTACAGCAAAAGAAACCAACAATAAATAATTTTTTCTACCTATTAGATTGTGTTTTATTAAAGTCTACATCTACATCTACCCCAACCCTAAACCTACCCTTACAGTAATGCAGATACTTTAAATATTGTTGTTCAGCGTGAGAAAAAAGATGCAATATTGATGTGTGCATGCGCAGTAAACCCTGGTAGGACAAAATTGACAGGTAGGATAAAATGTCAGGACACCTTGTTTATAACATAGCAAAAGAGGAAAAAGAACAGGTTGAATGTTAACCAGTTTCATTTCCATATAACTATAAACTATGATAAAAGTTCATCAGCATGCACTGATTAAACCCATGTTGTAGCAAAAAAAAAAAAAAAAACGAAGAAAGTTAGTCGCAAAAGAGCAACCAGTGGGAGGAATGAGTCTGGAGCACTGAATTGCTCAGCTCCCCCTGTCAAAGATCTAGCACACCCTCAGCACCTGCGTTCAAAATTATCTGGCGCCGCCCCTGCCCAACCTGTATCCCAAAGCTCTCAACATCCCAGTCATCATATTTCTACCGTACACAGAGCCGCAAACAGGTCAAACGACTGCATCCGCACCATCTCTCCCTAGCCTTGCGTAATCAAAACGATGAATGTTCCTCGATGCGCAGAATTTAGAAATGGAGGAAATACTGGAGCCTGTCCTGATGTAACAGATCGGCCAGGCTCCATCACCTCCCAGTCATCACAGCGATCCCTCTCACCTGAGTTCTGAGCACCTGCACCTGTCACCAATCAAGCACCTCATTACCAGCCTGCATAAAAGCACACACCTCAGACACCCTCACTGTCCGGTCTCGTATACACGTAGAGGACTAAATGACTTTGCTACTGATTACCTTTGAATACTTCTTGCATTACTTACCTCCTGTGTTCCTCCTAGTGTCTCTTCGTCTCCAAGTGTCTCCTGTATCTCCTAGTTCCTGGATCGCTGAGGTGTGTGCTTCCCCCGGATCCCTTCCAGCCTCAATCAAGCAAAGACTCCCTTGATCTTGGATGAAGGCTCGGTCTACAAGGTGAAGGAAATTCTGCAGTCCCGGCACCGTGGTGGTCAGCTGGAATACCTCGTGGACTGGGAAGGATATGGACCCGAGGAACGCTCATGGGTACCTAGGACCAATGTACTGGACCCCGCCTTAATGTCAGAGTTCCATGCTGCCCATCCTGATCAGCCCGTCCATCTAACTCCCCTGCTGCATCAAGTTTCTTCTTCGTGGCCAAGAAGGACGGAGGCTTGAGGCCCTGTATAGATTACCGAGCATTAAACAATATCACCATCAAATTCTGATATCCTCTTCCCCTTGTCCCTAATGCCCTGGAAAATCTCAGAGGTACGACCATCTTCACCAAGTTGGACCTCCGCAGTGCCTACAACCTCATCCGGATACGTGAGGGGGATGAATGGAAGACTGCCTTTGTGACCCCTACTGGCCACTACGAGTAGCTGGTCATGCCCTATGGACTTGCTAACGCCCCCTCCGTATTCCAGGATTTTATGCATGAGGTGCTCCGGGAGTTTCTTCATCGAGTCGTTATTGTCTACATAGATGACATCCTCATCTACTCCCGGAGCCAGGCCGAACATCGCCAGCACATTGCAGAGGTCCTCCAACGCCTGAGAGAGCACCACCTATCTCATTACCAGCCTGCATAAAAGCACACACCTCAGACACCCTCACTGTCCGATCTCGTATACACGTAGAGGACTATATGACTTTGTTACTACTTCCATTTGAATACTTCCTGCATTACTTACCTCCTGTGGTCCTCCTAGTGTCTCTTCATCTCCAAGTGTCTCCTGTTCCTCCTAGTTCCCAGATCGCTGAGGTGTGTGCTCCTCCTGCCTGCATTCCAGCTCCTGTAAAGCCAAAGACCCGGATTACCCCGCTCATCATATCCTTCGAACTATTCCCTCACCATCACATCCTCTGAACCCTACCCCAGTACTCTCTGTGACCCAATAAACCGCTTTTATATATACTAACCTGTTGCGTCAGACCTCTTCCGTTACACCCGAGTCCATATTGCTGCTGTAGGACCTCTTGAACTTGTTTGCATGTGTATCCCAGCTCCTCTAACCTGCGGATTACACTTTTGTAATCATCAAACACACTCCACTCACACATCTTCCAGAAAATCTGTGGTTGTTAACGTGCAGTCACACAGTTAATAGAGGTCTGATGATTAATTATTGCATGGTCAGACGTGCCAATGCATAGGGCCTATACATACAGCGCTCTGGGTAAATACATCCACATCCCCACCCCCCGCTCCGCCATTGGTACGGTCCAACTGGGGGCGCAAAACAGAGATGTGGAAAATCAGAATAATGAGTAATTTTTTATGTTAGTTCAAAAATCAGATTCGTAACTCGTAAAAATTTAAAATTAAAATGAGAGACAATTATCCGTTTGTAAATTGCTCCAAAAAAATGTAAAATGAAAGTTTGAAGCCAACTTTTCATTTGGTTCATTTTGATGGTGCGAATTGAACAAAGAACTGCAAAGGGTTACACGGACCATGAATGAACATCAGAACGTATTTTATTTAAACCGCGGAAAGACATCAATACATACCATTTGTCTACTCTCCTGTCTGATTTGTTTGTCGGACAAGATAGCGGATTCAGCGTTATGATTGGTCAGATCGCCTGTCTTTTTCTCAAAATTCCGATTTTTTTCTTGCAATTGCAAGTTAATGTCTCACAATTCAGATTTTTTTTATATCTCAAAATTCTGTGAAAAAAAATATAAATGAGCCATAAACACGGAATTACAAAAATTTCAGAATTGTAAGAAAAACACCACAGTTACCATACAAGTAATTATAATTACTTCCATACAAGTCATACTGGCTGGCAACGGGGTTGGATGACTTAATTACATAATTTTCATTTTTAGGTCAACTATCCCTTTAAAACACACTTTTTCCTAAACGTAAGCACCCACATTCCCAAATGACACAGAAATACACACTCACAGCCTTCTAGCCTCAAAACTTTAAAGACACATATACATGTTTTCTAACCAGAGCTCCTACTTACTGTGCTAATTACAGCCTTCAAAGATACGCTGTGTGTGTAACAGAATACACTCCAAAAATAATCTCACACACAAACACACATCTGAACACAGTTCAACTGACCTTAGAGCACAAATATCTATCTATCTATCTAGTTAAATTTAATGTGCAATATAAAATTAGTAGCGAGTAGGTAATTGTGCATGCAATTTACTCACCCGTGATGACAGCTATCAGTAGTGCAATGCAGACACACACACACACTGCTAGTGTGGCTTTCAGGAGAGTGTTGGGGCCCGCGCTCGCTTTGGATCCTTCTCTCCCCAGCCTCTCCATTTCCATACTACCACTGAGTTGAGTGCGTTCTGTCTCTTTCTATTCCTCCCTCTTTCCCTCTCACTCGGTTTTCACCCCTCCTGGCCTGGAGATATGCGCTTTAAGTCCTGATCCCAGGTCTGCGGTCCTTTTGGGGTCGTGTTGAGGTGTCTCTCCTCACAGGTCTCAGATCAGTGGCAGATGCACAGCATGAACAGTCATGCTCTATTTGCCAAAGAGTATCCCAGACTAAGAGAGAGGATAGGAGAGAAGGGAATAGGCAAAAGGGAGGGGAAAGAGGGTGAAGGAGAGAGTTAGGAGATTCAAGAGTAGAAGGAATTATTTTCCTTAGAGCCAACTGGAGCACCTTACTTACAGGAGTAATTATGTGGCGTCCTGCAGGAAGGGCGGGATGACTGGATGTGTGTGTATATATGTGGATCTACCTCTATATAGTCTGTGTTTATGCGCAAGGTGTGTGTTTTCTGAGTCCCTGCACCTGCCCACTCAACACTAAGTTTGAGATGATGAGCCCTATGGTTAAATATAACCACTTCCCTGTTTATTCTCAGATTGTCCCACAACATAAATTAGAATGAGGAACATACACGGTGTGATGATGATGATGTGTCTGTGACAGGACACAATCTACTATACATACAGAGTTTCCTAGACAAAGTTTTGTCTAATAAATCTGATAATTTTATCTGGGCTGTGTGGACATGAAAATGGATGTGTGGCACAAGAGCATGTGAATAGTGTCAACAAGAGTCTCACCCTAAATACTTGAGAGTTAGGAGCCCTGTTTTATCATAAATATTTGTTTGTGGTCTTATCTTATCACTAACAAATATATCAATGTTTATTTATCAGTTTAACTGCTGGCTTGAGATGCTCCTTATGATAAAAAAAAAAACATTTCATTTTTCAAAAGTATGTGAGAATTTTCAAAGACAGAATCACAATTTGAATAGCCTGAAACATCATTAAATGTTTTGTTTAATTAAATACAATTTTAGCTATAAAATTAACTAATTATATACATTTGTATATAATATTGTATATAATTAAATTCTAAAATGCATTTTGAATATTAATATTAAATATAATGAATATTTAAAATATTAAATATATATTATAATCAACTAATTTGTTATAACATTAATTAAAATAATAATATATTACAATTTTATTGTTATTAAATATTAATATTTTCAAATATTAATATATTCACATATATATATCTATATATATATATGTATATATATGTGTGTGTGTGTGTGTGTGTATATATAATATAGATTTAAAATGTTTAATGTATAATTTATATTATAATTTATTATAATATAAATGCAATATAATATCAATTATAATTTATTATAATATAAATGCACAATTAGTTTTTGTTGATATTGGCTTTCCCCATACCATTGTAACAGGGTTATATCGTTAACTAAAACTAAAACCAGTAAAAAAAATCATTACTTGAAATAACATAAAATTGATTGAAATCAAATTAAATATTTGAAACTGTGTACCTATTTTATTTCAGCTAGGTGCAAAGGAGACATTTATCATTTTTGTTTAGTTTTAAGTTGAAGTACTAAAATAACTCAAACTAAATAAAGTAAAACTAAAACTTCATAAAAACTATATAAACATAAAAAACGAATAAAAACGACAAGCACAACAAAATTACGGGAACTTTAATTAAAATTACAACAGAAAATACAAAATGAATTCTAATATAATAACAAAAAATATAATAGTATACTAAAATAGCACTGCATGGTAATACTATGTTCATGTTATACCTTCAAGTACCATGTAATTCCATGGTACATTAATATGGTGCCATGGTATTAGCATCATAGTACCATGGCATAAACACTGTACTTCTAAGTATGGGTAAATGCAAGTATTTCCTTAATCAATTTGAACAAACAGACTGTGGAGATTCCTGTAAACATGCAATGTCTGCCAAGTTTCCCAAAATAATTCTTATCTTCTGATAAGAAATACATGCACTTGCTGAGTCATCAGGAGATGACAGGACTACTATCTTGTTTAGTTAGTGGAGGGGAGCTTTCCACATGTCTTGAGTCAGAAAGATGTCAAAAGGGTTGAAGATCCACAGCTGTTAGCAGCTGGAGTGAATAACCATTTGTAATGTGCAAATGGGAAGATCTGATCTTGTCATTTCTCCAGTGTGTCTCTGCGGGACGTCACACTCCAGGAGCATTTGTCCAACAGATGATGCATGTACTAAAATGAATAAACAATTTATATGTAAAGGGGAAGTAAAACATAATCTCATCAGCAGTTTTAAGCCTCGAATATCAAATCACTTTGACACATCGTACAAATTTAATGGTGGGTGAAGGTCAACACCGCAACAGGGACATATCTGTGGTAAAATAAAACATGAAATGAGGTAGAAGAGGCCATACTGACCTCAAATGTGATAACAGTCAGTCACGATCCTGTCTGTAGGTGTAAGACCATCTGAGGATTTCCTTCACCACTCTATCTTTAGATTGTATTGACATCGATGCATATTGCATGTTATGACAATTGGATAAATTGTTCATTTTCCCCACAGAGGAAGGACACAGTTACAAGGACCATTTTTCCTGGACCCTTCCCAACTCAAACAAATATGTTTTTGAGAGATTAGACAACTGAAATACAGATAACAGAACAGATACAGCTCACACCCTACATCTATTTGTACCATGAATGAACAATTGTCATTTTTTATGAAAATTCAACCAATGACAGAGAAAATTTCCTTTGAGTTGGTTGCTTGTTTTATTTCTCTAAGGATAAAACTTACCGATATATAAGCTTTAGGTCACATATCCATAAGCCACTAATAATTCATACTAGTTTAAAGGCAGATGAAACAGCACTGCCATTCTTAACAACACTGACGCAGAAAACAGGAGAAACACATGTGCGACAACAATCCAGTTAGAATGATTTTCAATCCACAAATTAATATTTACAGTGGATTTACTGTAGTAACACTAAACCTACCCAATTAATACATTATTATTAAACACTCGTTAGTCAGTTGGTTTCCACTTTTCCGATGTGATATGTGATATGAAAAGGAAGAAAAGTGAGTTCGTCAAAAGGCAGTTTCAAACCCTTATCAACCGCATCATATGCTACATCCATGTGCATTACTCGCCAACCTATGCCACTGCAGGGACTGTTCGACACTCTCCAATGAGAGGAAATGAACCTGACACCAATGTGTTTATTCTCAACATTTTATTTAGTTTTTTTCTTAAAATTTAAAGACATTTTTCTTGTAATTTAACAAGCTTATTCTCACCATTTTATTTAGATTTTTTCCTCGAAATTAAAGGGGGTCATATGATGTTGCTAAAAATAAAATTATTTGGTGTATTTGGTGTAATGCAATGTGTTTATGCGGTTTAAGGTTAAAAAAAACACATTATTTTCCATATACTGTAGATTATTGTTTCTCCTCTATGCCCCACCTTTCTGAATTTTTTTACAAAGCTCATCGTTCTGAAAAGCGAGGTGTGCTCTGATTGGCCAGCTATCCAGTGCGTTGTGATTGGCCGAATACCTCAAGCGTGTGACGGAAATGTTACGCCCCTTACCATACTGTGATGCCGTGTCCGGCCGGAGCGACGAGACAAAAACATTAAAACCCATTATAAACAAGGCATTTGTTGCATCCAGTGGGGACATAATTACTGATTATAATGACTTATACTGTCTTTTTACGCGTTGTGTTGCATCGCGCCACGTAAACATAAAACCATGTCTGCATTTGTGATCGGAGAAATGACAAACAACAAGTGCTACTCTACACTGCTCAAAACTCGCGTTTGAATCATCAGTGGCAAATTCTTTAAATATGAAAACGTACTTACAGTCTGTGAGTCATAACAGCCGGCATTGTATTATACTCTTCCAGGATCAGGAAACAGTCCTCCATAAAATGCGCTGGACACATCTGAATATTTGGGTTAAACTGTTCTGGAACAGTGTTGTAAATACAACTTAACCACTGATTTCTAGTCGTGTCCTCTTTTGGAAGACCAAACTAAGTATTTTCGCTTTCACAACGAAACACACAGCGTCTTCACAACATAGCGGCGGCGGTGGCAGCAACAATAAAGTTATGCCTTCTTTCTTTGCGTAAACATTTGGGCGGCATTATGCAAATCTTCCCACATTGTGACGTAGATATGTGGGGGCATGTTTATATGAGGCGTTTTAGGAGGGCATGGACAAGTCTTAACTTTTATAAAGAATATCTCTTTGGTTTTGAGACTTTAGTCTTTGCAACTTTAGGGATCTTATCTAGCCACGAACAGCTTGTAACACTCCAAAGAGAAAGGAAAACTTGAAATCGCATCATATGACCCTTTGAAATGATTTTTTTTTTTATTCTCAACATTTTATTTAGACTTTTTTTCTCAAAATGTCAATTTTTTTCCTCAAAATTTAACAACTTTTTTTTCTCGTAATTTAATTTGTTTTTTCTCAACATTTATTTAATTTTTGTGTTGAAATTTAACGACTTTTTTTCTCATAATTTAACAAGTTTATTCTGAACATTTTATTTGGACTTTTTCTCAAAATGTAATAAAAAAATTTTCTCGTAATTTAAGTTTATTCTCAACATTTTTAGACTTTTTTTTCAAAATTAAAGTTTTTTTCTCTTGAAATTTAACGACTTTTTTTCTCGTAATTTAATGAGTTTATTCTCGAAATTTTATTTTGACATTTTCTTGAAATTTAATGTTTTTTCTCAAAATGTAATGACTTTTTCTCGTAATTTAATTAGTTTATTTTCACATTTTTCTTGAAATTTTCACTTTTTTCTTGAAATTTAATGACTAAAGTCAAGATGGTTTTATTTTTTATTATTGCTTGGCCCTAATCCTCTTCCGTAAAATAAAAATATTACATGAAAAGCTTAACTAAATCTTAAATGAAAATTAGAAATGTTGCCTTGGCAAATTTGAAGCAATACATTTACTGGAAATCAATAAAAATTCAATCTAAACTCAAATTTAGAGGTCCCCAACCCCTCAGAGGACCTCAGATGATGCCAACCCTGAAACAACATACAGAACTACCACATTTTGCTATAAGTTTGATTGCATCATAATAATTGCTGTTAATAGTGTTCATCGTCTGTTTTATTACATCTTAAATGGATTTTTCCGTCGGTTACTATTTTAAATTGGTTTCTTTTGCAAAGAAAGTTTTACCATTATGTTACTAGAAGAGTTTATGGCATTTTAGAAAAA